CACACACACACACACACACACACACACACACACACGAAGCAGCAAACAATTGTAGAAAAAGGAACAGAGAAATAGTAACAATTCACACTCACTTTAAGATATCTGGATCCTTTTTTCATCCATCACACAAACTTCGTCAGCAGACACTTTTAAAACAGCAACATAAAAAAATAGTATTTTCCTTTAAAATTCATGCCTGACCTATCATTGCAATTGCAAGCTTTTCCAGATGCTAGCTTTAGCTTTGTGAGAGAACAAATATTAACATCGAACATGCCACATATTCCAACAACAATTCCTCACATCTTTACCACACACACACACACACACACACACACACGTATGCACATTTATTCCTTTCTACCACACAACGGAAGCGATCAGTCTCTGCTAATATATTCTTGTTCATTTCAGCAAGTGGAAGTGTGGGATTGGTAAAGCTCACTTCAATATCAACATCTATACAGGAAAATAATATATTTCTGAATGCATGTGTATCTCTTCCACAACAGTAACAAAATAACTCCTTGCTTTAAATAAAACCAAGCAAAGATGACAGAAAAGGGCATAGCCCTAAAAACACAGAAATATTTACAACATATCAGGATGTGCGCACCGATAGATCCCCCGACCAAGTAACCAAACCTGATTAACCTTCGCATGTGAGCTTTAACAAGGGTTAGTTTCTCTCTACTTTGATCTGAGCAAATTAAGGAACATTCCTAAATCCACTTATTACTTTTCATTCCCTGTAAAGACTCCTCCACTCCCAGCCCACTCAGTCTGTCTGTATGGTTTGTTCAAACATGTTTACGACATGGAACAGATTTAAGGAGAACAACACAGACAGACGTGTCACAACTGTTGACAACCCAAAACCATGGCTTACTCCTCTTAAAATATAACTTTTTCAATTGCCACAAGATTTAAAAACCCCTAGTGACTGTCACTAAGGGACATGGGAGACTGACGATGCATTCCTCAACCCATTATACTCGGCGCCTCCTGCATCATGATCAACATGAATATGTGCTAGCTGCCTGCTTCTTCTTAAACCGTCCAAGCACCCAAACGAAACAGAAGAAGAAATCAAAATGTCACTCAGGTGGACGTCCTGCAGCGGGGAGTGTGTTGTGTTAGCGGGCCTCTCCTAATCAGCCCAGTGGACACAGTGCATTTCGGGAGGGCTGCAGGTGGAAGACTCAGGCAGATGGTAAGGAAGGATCAGCCGCCCCAAGAAGCACACACACACACACACACAGATACATACACTCTTTTAGTCTGTATATTCAGCCACAATGGACAGCAGCACCGTGATATCATCTGGCTTCCCTCCTGCAGAAAAAGACATTCATTATGAGTATGTACACTATTTTCATAATTTCAATGTGTATCCTATTATTCAAGTAGTTTTAGTCAAATACAACCCTCATACTGTGCATGATAAGTTTTGCAATCATATATATACTTTAGATGTGTGGTGAGGTGTGGAACTGCAGGAATTGCAGCATTTGACAAATAATGGCAGCAAGATAGATTGTTTTTCTTATATTAACATATTAAATGAAAACAACCACTTACCTCTCACATTCAGACCATTGTCACAGGCAAACTGTGCAAAAGGAGACATATAGTTGGGGTCATAGGCGAGGTCGTGAGCTTGCTTTGCAATGCTCTGTGCAGTCTGCAGGATGCTGTCATAGTTGGTGGTCTGAAAGAAAAAAAACATAAAAAGGATGGACATGTCATTGAAACGTGGAAAAAAACTCTTTCTGCAGATATGTAAATTGTGTAACTAGATACACACACACCTTCAGTTTTTTGAGCTCCTGAAGAATCATGTAGTCTGGCATGTTGTCAAAGAGGCCGTCACTTGCTGTTAGGATGATGTCACCGAGCTGCACATCAAAGGAGGAGCTGTCAGCTGCTTCAGGACTGGAGGAAACAGGAGGAGGGTGAGTTCAGTCACAAGTGAAACCGGCATGTGACGCCTGAGCTGCCCTCAACAGTTTCCACTATGGAATTAAGCAGGACGCGCTGCCAAATAACGGTGGACACAGTAAGGGTGTTTAATCTGACAGCTGACTTGGAATCAGCCGATCCTGTGTGTCCTCAGCAGACACTGTCAGGCCCTCCTGTTTCCTGGTGCTCAACCAATACTCCTGGTAACCTTTAACATTAAGATCCTCCCTGGTCTGGAGGGCCTGTTTTTTTAAGGTGACACACTACAGGACCAAAATAAGTTAAGTTTACTTGCTGAACCTTTTTCTCATGCCATAAGAAATATAATTAACCAGTGGGAGGAACAAGGGGGAAAAAAGACCTTGAGACTGCTCTAAATGGATTACATACAATGGATTGGCAAATACAGAGTCTAGTTTGTCAGCAAACATGTCGTGTGTACACCTGCACACACTGGACTGTGACGCAAAGCAGCTCACATCTTGTTTATTCTTTAAACATAAGGGGACAGCTCCTACTACAGCCACATTTGCTCTTTCTCTACAATAATGCACATTTTATTTTTGTTCCTTAAAAAATGCTCACATGACTTGTAATGATGCATCCAAGCGTGAGCTACTGACCTGTCACTGAGCACCACCCCTTCTGCTCCAGGGGGAGCGATTGACAGCTGGAAGGGCGTGTTAAAATAATGCTGCTGCTCGTCCGAGCGATGGACCACCTCTCCCTCCCGGACCACCAGGAAACCAGAGTCCCCGAGGTTACATGTGTGTAGCCGGTGACTCTGTCTATCCAGAACCACGATACAGGCTGTGCTGCTCCCTGCAAACAAGAGGAGAAACACATGTCAACTTATGGTTCATGTAGCACCACAGTGAAAAAACTCTGACAGACAGACATGAAAAGAGAAGTGGAGTCTGGATGTGTGTTTCACTTCACTTTCAACAGTTAGAATGCTGCACAACCAGTATATCACTGCCTCTGTGTGCACCCTTCATTACCTTGTGAATGTGATGCTGAGTGAGAAAAAAAACACACAGGTCACATTCTCTGATTGATCCCCAGAGACTGCAGCTTTATGAACCAATCGTCTTAATAACCTTGATCAAGGAAGGTCGAACACAGGCCGCGTCACCGCTCCTCAAAATAAAAGTAGGCCATTTGACAAACATGGTGACACAGGGAGGAGGTTAACATTTGGCGTCTGCTCTGGCTGTGGGTCAGAGATACTGAGTTTCAGAAGAAATGCGACCTTGGTCACATGTTTGACTCGGCCAGGCATTTGAAATCAGTACAGCTCTCCAGCAGTGTCCCTTACACATGCACTCCAGACCTTTTGGAGGCTTCTGGTATGAGGAAAAATGTGCACGCTACACTAAAGGAAAACTCTTTAAGGTCACTGCATCTCAACTTTCAAGTGGCGGCATAACAAAACACAGCTGATGAAGTTAGTTACCTCAAGGGTATTACATCACACAGTAGGGTGCAGGTCAGAGCCGGAATCAACCATAACCAACAGGCCTCACATTTTTAGATATGAGTCAAATGACTTGTTTAATCGGCAGTGCTGTGTGCCAACAAATGCAAAAACCTAATCTTGATTATTTGTGGTATGTTGATCTCAGGTATTTATTCTTTTCGCTCTAGTTAGATAAATACATTTTGACATGCAAATGTTCTCACTTGACTCACTCACATCCTGTAGCTGTGTTCTATAATTCTCAGAATGCTGCTGTTCACATGAAAAGCATGACCGACTCCACCGCAGACGGTCTGTTTACCACAATGTATCGCCTGTGTGTACTCACCCAGCAGGGGAACTTTGTTCTGTAGAAGCTCGTAGTAGCCAGAGGTCAGAATGCCTACTGGGTAACTGGGAATGAAGCGTCCCTCCTTCACCAGTCGCTCACAGGTTCTCATTAAGGTGGCGGAGAACTGAGAGGGGTCAACGCCATAGTCACGCCAGCCACCTACGCCATCTGCTACACCTGATGGATAGAAAATAACAAAACATTGTTCATAAGTGGTCCAGTCAAACATTCTCACTCTTCTACATACATGTAGCTCAGTGATTCTATTCCAGTTTGTACTTGTCAGCCCTGAACCTCAGCTTTAATGGTCAGTGGTTAGAGTGAAACAATATAGCTTTTATTTTGACTGATATTGTGATTGCAATGAGTCAGGGTTTTAGTGTTGATGCATATTTTTGCATGTCGACTTCACTGGACAGATGTTCGAGTGATGCTGATTTCAGTGGAGGTCTGTACTAAACAAGCACATTTGTGTCTCTTTAGAATGTTAAATATGACAAAAATAATTTACATCATTAATAAATGCTATTTCCATAAGATGTGAGGAAAATCATTAAAAATAAAAAATAATCACACACATATTATTTTATTATTACTATTTTCTCTCTAAGTTAAAGTTCCTTTCAAAAACGAGGTGAAAATACACTCTGGGAATTTCCAGAGATTTCCATGTGTGCCTCTCATCCCCAGAGCCACGGTTCTTTTATTAAAGCTACATTGAGGGGCCACTACAGACTTCACCTCCACCACCTCCACGTTATTTCTGCTGACATGTGTAAACACGTGAAGCCTTCAGGAGGATTCCATCCCTCTGAGCTGATCTATTGTAACGTCATATGACCAGCAAGTCACATTTAACCCAAAACGTAGCGTGTTAGAAAACATATTACACTTATTATCAATGTCGAAAACCTCGTGGTGAGTCGAGACATTCACTCTATTTACCCTGATGTCAACCAAACAGTGAGGACAAAGCATCCACACTCAGCGAAGCTAGCAGGCTAGCGAGGGTATTAGCAACATGGCTGCCTCCATGCTCAACCATTCTGACCTTTGCAAGACATTGTAGTTTTCAGTCCTAGAGGCTGGGATCGAGTCTTTAACAACTCGATCCGCCTGTGAGAGTAAATATCTACACATCCCAACTAAACCTGTTCAATATATTGAGTCGTCGCTGTGTAATCTGCAGTTTAAGCTCATCTAGGTGAAAGGTCGTTTGGAGTTTCTGATCAAAAATCATCTACATAATGAGAGAACATGCGTTAAACAGCTCGATCAGAGGTTTAACACGCAGGTTGATCTGTGACAGGAACATGTCCTTCTCCCTGTTATTAAACTGAAGGGTTGTAGGAGAGTGGGGGGGGAGTTGTGGCTCCGTGTTTGCAGGGGTGGGGGGGGTTGTGTTTTCATCCGAGGGGTCGGTGCACGTGTGGGCTCACTGAAGGTCACCCGATAACAGTGTGTGCGAGTGTGTGTGTGTGTGTGTTCGAGTGTGTGTGTGTCCGGTGACAGTGCTCCGTGTGCCCGGTGCAGCTTACCCAGCACATCCGCGCTCCTGTGCCGCGCTATGAAGCAGGCGTCGTCCCCGTAGCACATCCCTTTCTTCAGGATCCCCTTGCGAAAGTCTTTCCCGAAGCCATAGCTGGCGGTGATCAGGCTGTAGTCCCGGCCGTCCGTCTGAGACAGCCCGCCCAGGACAGCCCTGGCTACCAGTCTGCCATACGACAGTACGGATAACATCCCCCGGCTAGGAGCGGCACCGTTTCGGTTCGACCCCCCCTGCACACGCGAATCCTCCTCGCCGCTCTCTCTGTCTCCCTCTCGCCGGCCCGGCCGCCTGCCCTTCTCGGCTGCTTCTTCTTGTCTTCCCGGCTGTCTGCCCGCCCTCTATCCGTCCATTCGACACGGACTAGCCCGTGAAATCCTCGCCCCGCAGGAAAGTCTCTCCGACCTCTCGTAGAGCTCCACCGTCCGTCCCCGGGCTGTTCAAGTCTGTGAGCCGCTCATGGACGCAGATCCTCCGCTGAACTTCCTCCTCTCCAACATGATTCCTCACTTCTTCCAGAGCGGCGAGTACATACGGGTCCCCGGCCGATTACAAGCATGACGTCACGGACAGCCGCCTTCATCCAATGAGAGCCGCTGCGCAGGCCTCCTCTGGTGGGAGCTTGTTTTATTCACCGGGACGTGACGCACACAGAGCTAACGTTAGCAGCATTTAGCCTGCCTATGATATAGTAACACTGTGGCGCACTGTTAGCCTTCAAAGAGGCCCAGGGCTGCTTATGATTTAAAACAGTTTAACTGTGCAGGTTATGTTAGTCTGATGCACAACTTTGCATAGCTTCAATTATTAATCTTTAAATAATCTGTAATTATATCTATCTATCTATCGACTCTATTTATCTATCTATCTCTATCTCTCTCTCTCTCTATCTATTCACAGCTTCTGACAAACAATAAAAGCTGGCAACATGACGCCACTGAAAAAAGACGAAATGATTCAGACCATTTAAATCATGTAAAATATGCTTCTACCAAGAAATACTATTACAGAAAAAAAAATAAAAATATTTGTATCATTCAAGAAGAAGAATTTGTAAATTATTTGATTTACATTTTAATGCTAAATATCACATTCACAAATGCAGTGGTGAAGGAAGTACCCAAACATTTTACTTAGGTGAAAATACACATTTATAGATTAAAAATGTACTCAAGTGAAAATATCGCATGTGTTTTAGTACAAGTAAGCAAGTATTTGCTTTAAAGTATACGTAAAGTATTAGAGGTAAATAATGTCACCTATTCTCATTTGCAACAGTCCAAATCATAAACTGTGCAGAGCGTATATTTAGTTTAATGCAAGAGCAACACAGACTCTGTCATATTAACAAAGAATAAAGAATGCTGCAGGTGATGCTACTGAAAACAGTTGTCACTCCTCCATGATGGTCGAAACAGTATTTCCCCCTAGTATCTCCACCTTTTCCACCCGCAGTGGAGTCGCTGTGCGTCAAAACGAGTGCGCCACATCGGGACAGACCCACCCAGAGCCAGGCCTCATAACGGAGCAGAGAGAGGACGCAGCAGAACAACGCAGCAACAACGAAGATCCCACACAAACCACCAACTCACGGTAAGAAATGAGCCTAGATTGAATTATACTTATTGCTGATGTTACGTAAGCCTTCGTTTATTAGGCCAGAGAACAAAGCGGCGCACGTGCTGCACATATAAAGCTTTAATTCAATATAGTGATTATATTTAACCGGGCGAATAGACTGGATGAAAATGAAGCAACGCGTATGATTCCACGATTTAAAGATGAAAACACACGTAGTTCATTAATCAGTCACAGATTGTATCGCTGGTCTGTTGATTTTATTTATTTATTTCTGTGTTTGATAATGTGCTCTGGATGTAAGTGAATCTTAAGATACAGATTTTAATTATTAAATTAGACTGTTAAATGTTATATGGACTGTAGAGGAATATTTTTATTATTTCTCATGTAGGTCATTATGAAATGAAAAAGTAATGCCAGGCCATTTTGAATGTCATGCTAATAGAAGATACTGAATGAAGGAACATGGAAAGTGTTAGCTCTTCTAATGTCGTCATGTTTTTATGATAATCTCCTTGAAACACTTTTGTCTGTATAGGGCCATGATGGGGAGATTGTCCGAGGTTGCTGTTGTGTCCCTTCTTGTTGTCTTTCTCCTGAGCACTGAATCTACATGGGCTAAAAGAGGTAGCAGCAGCAGCGGAAAGAAGACCTCATCATCAAGCAACAGGGGTGGGACACAAACAAAGCCATCTAGCTCTTCACCAGGAAGCTATCCGAGGCAGCCCCAGAGTCCCAATCGAAACCCCAATCCATATCCCGCCGGGGGAAGTTACCCTCATCCTGGAGCAGGCAACACAAATCCCGGAGGTGTTCCCAGACAAAACCCAGGAAGTTATCCAGGAGCTGGTAGTTATCCTAACCAGTATCCTGGTAGAGCCAATCCTGGAGGTTATCCAAACCAGAACCCTGCAGGTGGCTACCCAGCTGCAGGTGGCTACCCAGCTGCAGGTGGCTACCCAGCTGGAGGAGGCTACCCAGCTGGAGGTGGTTATCCTAACCAGAATCCTGCAAGAAATTATCCAAATCAGTATCCGGGTGCAGGAGGTTACCCAGCAGCAGGTGGTTATCCTAACCAGAATCCTGCAAGAAATTATCCAAATCAGTATCCAGGTGCTGGAGGCTACCCAGGTGCCGGGGGCTACCCAGCAGCAGGTGGCTACCCAGTCAGAGGGGGTAATACAGGACAAGGTTGGGGTGTGCCTGGCGGAAATCCCGGGGGTTACCCCGGTGGTTACCCTGGTGGTTACCCTGGTGGTTACCCTAACTGGAACCCCAATAATAAGATCCTCAGTCCCCGCTTTGGTGGGGGAGGCTATGGGCATGGTGGTTATGGGATGGGAGGTTCTCCATTCTCCCAATCTGTACAGAATATGGGATACAAGCCCCAGTCAACAGGTTTTGCCAAAAAAGCCATGGTGGCAGCTGGTGTCGGTGCTGTGGCTGGGATGGCTGTTGGATATGGACTTGGGCGCTTCCCTAGACCGCATTTCAATTTCCGAAACCCTGAAGAGGAGCAACACTACAACAACTACATGTACCGCCGTTATGGCTCCCGCTCCACCGATGAAAAAGACTTTGGCCGTGATTATGTCTACAACCCTCCACCACGAGCACAGACTTATGAGAACTTCATGAGTACCTGCATGAATAGGACTGACCTTCTGAAAGATCAGGGCAGCAGCTCTTCCACCACTAAGATTGGAAGCAATGAGCATAATGACACCGTCAGCATTGAAGAGATTGGATACCCTGCACTGATTAAGCAAATGAAGTCCCGACGCTGTGTGGAGCTGTACATGGTTTATTCTGAGCAGTTTCTGGAGGAACGAAAGGCCGAGCAACAGTCGCAGCCCAGTCGCAGCGACCCTCTGATCTACGGCGTGATTCAGCTTTGCACCTCCCTCTTCGTGCTACTGTCCAGCATGCTCCTCCTCCAGTGAGAAACATTTAGAATTCCTTTCTCTATATACCCCGAATGGGTTTCTACTTTGCCTAGTATACTTGCACGTCTACTGTCTACTAATGTCACTTTGTCCCCTCATCACAAACTTAGTTGTATACTGAGTCATATTTAGTCAACCATTTTGTATAGCTGACTAACAAAAGGTAACAAAATGTCTATGTGTATATCATGACAAAAGGAGAGGCAGCAGTCAGTTTGAAATCTTTGTTAGATTTTATGTCGCACGAACTGCACTTAATTTTTTTCTGCCTGTTTTTTGTCAGTAATTGATTTTAAAAGCTTAGAAAACAGATTCAGGGTATTTAAGTTAAGGCACTGACGATAAATGTATCTGCTACTGTGTAAAATAGGAATGTTACTAAGAGTTTTATACATGTACAGATTATCTAATCGTTCCCCTCATGAGTACTGGATGATTAATTAGATGGACTGAAGTGGCTAGATATGCTTAAGCAAAAGAAAATTTTCATTCAATATAAAACAAATTGAAGTCAGGGTCCGAGTGTATACATCAGTATGTTACGACTACGAGTATTAGGACTAATAAAGGGGAAAACTTCTGAAAATTAAAGGAGAACACAATCATAATATTTCGAGAATAAAATCATAATTTTAGGGGACATGTTATTTTAGAGGGGGAATATCAGAAGATCAGCCTGTTGCCTGTGTCTAAATGAACAACATGGCGCAAATTGTTGAGTTGTACTTGAGTATAGTATCTTCAGGAGTTGTACACGTGTACGTAGGCAACTGGACTTGCTTGTTTCTTCTCTTCAAGGTTTATTTGGTTTATTACCCCTCTGTTATGAGTCTAGTAAAATTAGGGCCAAGAGTTAAATTGACATGTAGCCTGAACACTCATTTTACAATTTACACATTTTTGGCCTTGTGATATTATGACTTTATTCTTGAAATCTCAAATATTTTTTTCCCTTCAAGTCGCCCTAATACTCTGACGTATGCAGTTTTCATTTTGAGATGAATTGGTTTTAAAATTGGCCTTTCAAACAAAGTAAGCGACAACTCCCCAAGCCACTAAAAGCTGTCAAGACTGGCCCATGTTCAGATTTTGTTAAATGCACTTTCTTTCTCTCATTTCTTGGAAATGGTTATTAAGTCAAATGTCCCACATGGCCCGCAAATTCAAAAACATCATTGAATTACACTGGAGGATGCTGGAGGCCAATTTTTTATTTTTTTTGCACAGCTGGGGATTTTCCCATTGACATTTTTGCCAATGAATAGTTTAACACTTGTGTTGAAAGAAATCAAAATAAAAAGACAGCCTCACGCAAAGAGCAGGTCTGCCTCGTCTCAGGATTATGGTACTCACTCATTGTTTGTTTGTTCAGCGGCCTGAAAAAAAAAAAAAGAGATTGCATTTAATAGCTCTGGAGACAGGAGGCATGATGCCATTAGTGCAGCTGCTGCCCACGGTTGAGAAGGAAATAGAGCATTTGTTGATGCTTTTACTCTGGGCAGTGATTCGATTGTGGTTTAGAACAGAGAAGGTTCCACAACAATTCACCAACTCTGCTGTATCTCTGTACCTTAACCTTAACGTATCGCACGGCTCCTTCACAGTTGGGGCAAGATTAACTGGGCAACTAGAGGCACTGACTTTAAATCGGCTGGAAACAGGGTGTAGCTTTCCATTCCATCGTACATGMACATGGCTGTCTTGGTTCGCTCCCGTATCTTGTGCCAACCTCGGTTTCATGTTCATGTTACCAGCCATACCCTCGGTTTCCAGAGACACTGAAACTTTATAGGCTTCCCAGGCCTGTGCTGTTCAGTACTTATCTGTGTCTTCCTCTCATCACCTTCCTATATTGCCCATGAGATAAGTTAGTTGCTGGTGGGTCTGTAATTTGTTTGCAAATCCCGACTCCCCTTCTTTTCATGACGTGTCTCTCCAGTGTATGAATATGTGCTCTTCTTTTTGTTAGTTGTGTTTAGTGATTGTTTTTGTGATACTTTTATTATTACAACCTGTTCATTTTAGTCTGCTGTTTGGACAGAGTGTATTCAATATACTTACACAATATTCAGTGTGTAATAATATATATACACCAGTATATAGAGGTAAAATAAAAGAGTACAGTCAAAATAGTCACAAAGCAGACTGTACATCTGGAAGTGATCATATATGGACCTTTTATTGATTGTTTGCTGATTGCTCCTTCTCTTAGTTAATTGTTTTCATATTCTCCATCTATAGTTTCCCGTTTTAATATTATTGATTCTGGCAAAATGAATTGGATTGATTTGAAAATAATAATTTGACCACTTCATTATGTTTGTGCTGTAGAATATCTGTAAAGTGCACTTATTTCCCTGTAGGACTGGGTCTTTTGTAACTGCTGGAGATCTGTGTGGATTGTCTGGTTCATTTAACCTAATTTTAAAACTGTAATGATTTTAAATTGTCATGGCTCTCTGTATGTTAAATAAAAAATTAACAACAATAATGGCTTAAATAATATAATTTCGCAGACATGTTTCTCATATATGATCTTTAAACTAATGAAATTTCGATATAATTGATGTGTAGAGTAAACTTGATTTGTAGTTACCTGCAATTCATCTTCCATCATGATTTATGGACCATTAGTTTTTATATATTCAGATTCTGGATCCAGGAACATCTAATTTTACGCGCTAGAGAATACTTTATCTTTAAAGATGTGCTGTATTTTGTAATTATTAGTTGAGAAAACTTTGGCAGATAAATTAATAATGTAAGCCACCATTGGTTGTAGCCATATAGTCTAAATATATTTGTATTCTCCTAAGGAAAGAGTTATATATAGGCACTTACTGATCCCAAGCCAATGTTCCTTATCAGTTTATTTGTTGCCCTTAAAGAATTAAGACTTAAGTGAATCAATAAACATACTGGAAGCAGCTGGTAAAATAACCACCACAGTGCATCTTTAATGGCAAAATGTATCCTCCCCTGAAGTCCCAGATAATTTACTGCAGACATAACTCCGCAATCATATAATGTCTATATAAGTTGAAGCTTGGACAAATATGATCATCTCATATTAAAGCAGAGATGACAGGGAGGACAGCTTATCCAAACAAGCCTTTATTAGATTTGATCGGATGATTCATCCCAGTGATCAGAGGTTAGATTAAATATCTGTTATCCAGGCTGCTACGAGGAAAGACACCAGTTGTCCAACTGTGAGAAAGATGTTGGTCGGGTGAGCGGGGGCAGCTGTGCTAACTAAGGCTCTCCAAAGGGACTGGTTCTGGCTGTGATGACTCCCATGATGCTTCGGCTTGCCCCGGAACCCCAGCCCGTACCCGGTGCCCGTGCCCCCCAGGATACCGGCTGCTGCTGCTGCTCCTGCCAGCTTCAGGCCCTGCTTGGAGAGGCCTTGGCTTTTGGAGGAAGGCGCTTTGTTGCCATCGCCTTTTCCTCGACCCCTGAAGATGCCTCCGCGCTTACCGTCCGCAAGCTGTGGGCAAAGTGCTGACATAAGCAACAGCCAAACCCACAGGGAGAGGAGCTTCTGCTGGACAGCCATGGATCTGCAGCCTGCAAAAACATGCATGTACTGATTTAAAAAGTGGAGGCAAAAATAACCTCTCTTTACTGAACCTGCTCCACTTTTATATCTACACTCTGCTGGCTGTCATTCAAAGTTGCAACAAAGCTTTTAATTTTGTGGCCTACACATCCAAAGTCACATGCTCACCTCCAGCACTGACACAACAGACATCCAGAACCATCCACTCGCTCCCTGTGTCAACACTGGGATTAACTGGGCATTATGCATGTGATCATGTTTCACCCTTTCATGATGCATCTGTTTTTCTGGCTGTGATTGGCACCATACATTATTATAGGCGGCTGCAAAACATATGAATGATGTATTTTCATAATTTACATCATTATGATTCATTTGGAAAAAAACTGGTAAAAAGTGTTGATTAGAAATTATTGATTGATCAAAAACCACCTTGCTGTTAATGATAACAATAAAAAAGTCAAACCTACCTTTGTGAGTAGTAACACTGAGATGTCGGTGGTTGTGATGTGGAGCGTCCCTTTTCAAATCACAACACCCACAGTGCAGCAGAGACTCATGTTGGGTTTTCAGTACAATTCCCATACCAACAACCTGTTGGCACGCAGCTCCTCCCCAAAACAAACCATGCATTACGATTGGTTCCCGATGAATAATACAGATTCAATGATTTTTGATGATGGAGGCTTTTCACATACAGTAGTGACACCTCGTTTTCTCTCATTATTCAGCAAATGCAACACATTACTGTTCACATTGACCTGAGTATTTTCAAGCTCCCACAAATATGTCTGGGCTTCATTTGATTGATGAAGAAGCTCACATGTTTGTTCTTGTATGGCTCAACAGAGGTTAAAGGGAAATTGTTGGTTTGTCTTTTTAAATGCAACCTGCGCCCAGTAATTTGATTTGGATCTTAAAATGGAAGGGTGCTCTGTAGAGAGAGGGGTTCCGTCAAAGTGCAGAACTTTATTGCAAGTTTAACCCAAAAATATAGATTTTTAAGATGAATTTACATTGCTGCTTTTATCTTATGGGTCTCTCATGCACAGTTAACAATCAATATAGGACTTTCAACCTTTTATTTTATATATTGAACGTGGATTTAATTTGGAGTTTTCGTGAATCAAAAATACAATTGCATTCATGTGAAGTGATATTGTTGTTTAAATGGAAATATATCACCCATATAGCCATATTGTACAGGATAATTAGCTACAGCCAGTTTCTCAACATCTCATATATGGAAGTTCTTACAGGGATGATACAGGCATCCTCTTTAGCAGCCAAATGGCAGTTTTGCATGAAAATAAAATGTATTGGTGTTACTGTGCTAAGGGTATTTATGAACAAAAGGTGAATACAGATCAAAACTTATTTAGAAAACAAATAAATCATTTTTTTGACCTTTATAAAACAATATGGTCCATTTTGTTGATGCATCAACAAGTTAAAGACATTTGGTCCAGAGAAACAACTTCAAGTCTATCACACGGAACAAGAGCACAAAATGAAATGCTTTGCACAGAGAACACGGCTGTCAGGCTTTAAGAATCTGATCTTTTTTATGTGTGAAATATCAAGATGATGATGTAAAGATGTAGAACAAGAGAGGTGATTGTTCACACTGGTCAAAACATGGAAAAAATATCCCCAGGCAAAATCAAAGAAACAAGAGTTTTTTCTTTCTGTGGTTTCTGTGTCATGGGTTTGAAGGATCGTCCGCACGGCACAATTTGGACAAGTGTTATCTTGTTCAGTTTAACAAAATGTGCTTGTATGCAAGTAACATAGAAGCATAAGTGTAATGCAACACATTTGATGCAAACAACTGCTACAGACTTTTTCAGTTTTATTTTGAACAGCCATGTCTGTTTTTATCCCAGTGAAAAATAGTAGTTAATCCCTGCACACGTGTATTAAACACATTCATATCCTATACGCACATTTCAGATGGTCAGTTTAAAAGGAAGATGCCTGCTGGAGTTGACAGTGAAGGCATACATTTATTTCAACAGGTTTTAGGTCAACATGACAAAAACCGTATCTCATGTTTCCACAAAAATCTGAAGAAACACAACAAAACGTGACTATTTTCTTTACAGTGTGACACAGTAACAAAGTCTCATCGCACTGGCGCCTGAGTTTCAAAGTGGTCAACAACAAAACTCCATGTTTGCACTCGCCGTGGTTTGCATCACATGCTTTGAGTCGTGGGGCTTGACACTCATGCTCATACAGCAACGACGACAAATCATTTCTCACATTTGACTCGTGCAAAATTAAAGTGAAAACTGTCATGCAAAGAAAAAGGGCTTCAGATGATTTAGGTGAATTCTGCACATTTCTCTGCATCACAGTTTGTCTGGAGAAGTAAGAGTGTTTGGCTGTTTCAGGATTAATTGATTTATGAATTTATTTCAGACCCAGAGGCTTGAAGCTGGAAGCACTTTGCAGCATTACTGACTCATGTCTGCCCAAAGACACTAGATGACGTTTTCAAAGAGCTGCATTGAAGCCATTATACTTTCATCCTGGAGAGAAGATTAAACAGATGCACATGCTTAGCCAATCGCCTTTGTTTAAAACTTCAGTTGTATCACATCTGTCAGATTTATGAATACTTTACCTTTTGGCAGGTGTCTATGAATTCATCTATTGTCACCACCCCGTCTCTGTTACGATCCATTTTCTGAAAAATGTCAGGCATGTACAGAAGAAAGAGACTTTTAATATGTTGTCATATAAATATGTGAAATAATGTGATAAATAAACATGAACTCTTTGGATATTCATCGAATGTTCAAATTGTGAGTCATTAAACCACAGTGATGTGAGATGTGTGATGTGCTGTTGAGAGTTTGAGGAGCAGTTTCGGATTGAATCTTCAGTCAGTTCTGTTAAATTAAGATCTTGTTTGTGAAAGTTAAGTTTGGATATTCTGCAAAATTTGTGTTTCATGAGATCCGGCTGGACTGAAGGACTGTGTGTGTTTCTTGATTGTGTATTGAACAGTTTAGAGATAATTGTCTGCTATATGTAATATATTATATTGTCACCAGAAGTGCAAATAACATTGTAATGAGCCAAACTGATATTTGACATTTTCAAATAACTACTGTGTGACAAAACCTTTCTCTTATCTTGCATTTTAGTAAACTGAGATTGTCTCTGTAAGAAATTAGTGTAATTCATTACTGTTATAAGGGGATATCCGTGCCATTGGTCAAATTCACTGTGGTAATATTTAACCCACATAGCAAAGTTGTTTTGGCCCAGATTTGGCCCCACACTGACCCACATATTGCATGGAATGATTACACTGGGGCGGTCTGCTCCATTCTGCCAGATCCGGGCCACAAGTAAGCCACAGCAATACCACTTCAGGTTCACATTCAGATTACACTTTGCCGAAAGCACCGGGTGTTTGCCAAAAAAGGCCCACTTTTGTTTTGGGATATTTAGGCTACATTTGTTATTTTACAAGTGGGCAACATCCATTTTGCCTGGGCCACAAAAAGTCCAGAAGTGCCGCATCATTGCCTGAAGTTCCCCACATCCACATGCCATCTGGGAAGTGCAGTAATGCAGGCTGTGGTCTTGGATCAGTCAAAGATCTGGGTGTAATGATATCTCATTAGAGGACCAGGATTAGACTGTGTGGTTTTGTGGACTCACATGGAAGAATTTCTCCACGTGCTCAAAAGGGGAATCGTCTCGTACACTGGGTAAAGTATACCTGCCCATCATGTCATAAATCGATGTCATTATTGCCAACATTTCCTGCAGATAAAACAATGAAAAAAAGACATAAAAACATTTGTAGAAAACCTTTCAGTGAAACAGATTTTGACATTTTTCCCATGAGAATCTGGAGTGCACCTCCTTGGTGACGTAGCCGTCCTTATTGATGTCGTATAGATTAAACGCCCATCGCAGTTTTTCTGTAACGGAGCCTCTAAGCAACACAGACAATCCTATCACAAAGTCCTGTAAAACAAAGATCATTGTTGCCTGTTTCAAATCAAAACTAAATGTCACTCCTGATTATTGACCACAGGAAATGAGAACAACAACTCACTTCAAAGCGGATGGAGCCGCTTCTGTCCATGTCAAAAGCGTTGAACAAGAAATGTGCATATGTCGTCGCATCTGTGATCAAATAATGGACACAGGGGTAAAAATGAACATGCAATGTTGTTGGCTATTTGTAAATCGCTCATAAAACCAAACGTTTGACTGAACTTCAGGAACCCTGGACCATGTGTTTGAAATATCATACTTTACCTCCTTGAGGGAAGAACTGTGAATAAATGGTCTTGAATGTTTCTTCATCCACGAGTCCGCTGGGACACTCCTGTGGAAGGTAAACAAATAAATGCATTTTTATCACTTTAATTCTACAGTGATTGACAAAAATAAACTGTCACGTCAACTTTTCTCCAGTATCCACTTCCTGTTTAATCTTGCATATCATTAATACTTCCTGGTTCCTCTTACACACCTGTCACCCAATTAGCTTCCTGTCCCTGCATTTTCCCCCCAAGAAACCCCTTTTAAATAGTCTGTGATTTAGGAATGCATACTTTAGACTTAACTCAATAGGATGTGAACACTTACGTGTAACAGAGAGTGACAGCAGTCCTAACCATCCTTTCTCTCTTATTCTGTAGTAACTATTCGTTATAATATTGATAATAACTTTATGTATATAGCACTTTACAGAACAAAACGATGAAAGACATATAGGAGGAGAATAGTGCCAGTTTCGACTATATAGATGAAATGAATAAAACACTCCGACAAAAGTGAAATGGATCATCATAAACACCATAGAACAAATCACACTAAGTATCAGAATCGAGAATTAATAGCAGCTTTGTACAAATCTGTTTTAAGGGGTGTTTTATTTTGGGCAACAGATTCAGGGCTCCCTGATCTAACAGTGTTAGATTACACTCTAGCAGAAAAAGGCTCAGTGCTGCATCTGCAGAATCTCTTTTTCATGTTACACATACTAATATTTAAAAATGCACCACATCCTTTGCTGCAGTGCCAAGATGTAGCCACAATTTGGGGAGGAGGGCAGGATATCCGACACAGAGAGCAGAAAAACAAAAGTGTCTTGAGGCCTTTTGAGCTTTTCATCAATCCACAGAATGTAGTTACACAAAAAACTTTAACGATGGTTTTGATCAGAAAGTCTCAGTCACTAAATGTTATTAATGACACCTTTTCTATTCCTGCTGTGACTAGTCAGAAATATCTCACTCTTTGACTCAGCGGAGAACTTGTGAGGAATTTCCTTCTAACCACTTGTGTTTTCTCGGAACATTTTCTTTACCACAGCCCGTGTGTTTCCTTAACATCTCACGAACCTCTTCAGCAGAACGTTTTTAATGCTGCAGTTTTGTTTACATCAGCTCGTGGTCCTCTGCCTCTCCTCTTTAATGGCACATTACTGCCACTGACTGCCGATATGCATTTACCTGCATCTGTGCTCTGCAAAAAACACACATCCCCATGCTTTTCCACGTGTTGGTTGAACACAATAAGTGTGAAGAATACATCCACATGGCTCAGATGTGGCACTAAAGGTCAAAAGATCCATAATGTGGCTCTTTTGGTCTTGGTGCTAATGTTACTGATTATTTAAAGATGTAAATGAAATGCAACAATTGAAAAGCTAACAGACAACATATAACCAAAAGTATGTGGACACCTCTGCCTACATGATTTTGGAACTACTCGTGCAGCCTGTGACGGAGGGTTAAAAGTAATTTGAAGTCGTTGCAAACACAATAGACAGTCTGGCTGCTGAGGTCAAGTGGAAATGAACAGAGGCCAGAGCAGGTGAGAAATCAGGTGACTAGGAACGGTGGGAAGGGCTGGGGTGGATTTCACAGATCGTACTAAATCAAATATGTTTGGGATGAACTGGAAAACCAACATTTCATCACCTCACATCACTTTCTGACCCCATGAACGCTCTTGTGGCTGACTGGAAGAAAATACCTGAGAAAAGCTACCGTTATAGCAGCAGATTATTTATGTCCATAAGGCTTCTGAGACCTATATATGGAGTTCACATACTTTTTGGAGAGTCCACATACTTTTGGCTATTAAGTTAAGGAACTGTAAGTTGTGCCTGTAGTTGACTTAATTCCTCAATTAGTCTTAACTGCACCCGTAGCCCCCGTTGCTTTATTTAAAACGTCCCTCACGTTCTTCTTACATTTTTGAATCCTCTGTAAAGTGACTGCAGCTCCTTCCTGGTGAACTGAGTCTGGGCTTGCAGCTGATCAAGACCCTCGGGTTGGTGACGCACCATGGAGAGCTCAAGGTCACCGTCGTTGCTGTCTGTCAGAGGGAAACAGAGAAATCGAGGGAGGTGCAATACAGGAGGGGAAGGAAGAAAAGAAGGAGGAAACATAGGTAAGACAAGAAAGAAAGAAAGAAAAAGAGGGAAACAGGCAAGGTGGGAGTCGAATGCAGTAAAATCATATGGATGGGAGGCAAAGAATTAAAATGGCTGCATATAACTCAAAAGGCTCACCATCTTAACACAAAGAAATGTGGAAACAGAAATGAAGAGGTTAAGGAAGAGAAGGTGAGACAAGGAAACGGGTGGGAGATAAAACGTGTTAAGAAGAATGTACAGTATTGGACAAATATGAAAAAAAGAAGTAAAGACTATTTTTACAGAAAAGTGGAAAAGAGGAACTTGTAGCTTGTTGCAAAGAAACCTGGAAAGAAGAAGCAAAGAAACCATTTATTTCCACTTCCACCAGAGGAAATAAGCAGATTTACTTATCTAATCTTTATATTTTTGCTATCGTGGGCCTTTCAGAGGTCAATATTTCTATAAATAGAGCAGGTTTCACAAAAGCAACACTTAAAAAAATGGGAAGGAAGAAAGTAAATAAAGGGTCAGTATAAAGCACATGTCACTTAGATAATGTTATTAGAAGCACCATTATCTGACAAGTCTAAATGCCCTTTATTACATCAGCCAAAGGGACAAATTGGCGATTTCAGTTTAAATTAAAAGACAAACAAATATATATATTTGCAGAGAGGGCTGGGATAAAAACTACCACTGGAGCTGTACTCACCATCTTTACAAGAGCAACATGCAAATAGAAAGTTGAGGAAGACGAGGGAGAGATGGGGGAGGGGGGAAGAAGAAAGTCACAGGACTGTTAAAATGTTTAGTTATAACTTTTTGAATGTAAATACTAGATGGATGCAGATTGTACAAGTCTATCTAGTCTGCACTACACTAACATGGCATTATGTATAGTGAAAATATGTTCTGGTACGGTCCATACAGGTTATGAACAAATCCACTTATAACACAGTTCTATGTAAGATAGTATCTACATTTATTTTACCAATTCCTTTCCGTCAATCTATCACACGTGTTTGTGTGACTACATTCAACTTCTGCGTTGCTATTACAATCCACTACATCAACTAACAAGAAGCTTCAACAGTATTATTGCCCCAGTTCTGCACATAACACCAAATACACACTTGCTCTTGATGTCTTACCTTCCAGTGACAGCGGCTCCCAAATCCCAAACTGTTTGAGCACGACAACAAACAGTCCAACAACAACAGCAATGGCAATTATCTCCATGCCATCCAATCCCATTGTTGCCTTGCATCAGCTTTGAGCTGTGCAAAAGCTTCAACTTTGAGAAATGTTTTTTCTCGTGTGTTTCTAAACGGACAATTTGACAGAGCGGCTTGCATCCACAAACGTCACCTGCTGCCAATCATCTCCTTCCTCCAGCAGCCTCCTGTTTGAGCAATGTTTTTGTTCAGGCATCAGCAGATACATTCACTTTAAAGAAACCCCTGACGTCAACCACTGACCAGAAAAAAAGGTTCTATTACAGTGAGTGGAGGTCATCCTCCTCTATGCAAACACATCCAGAGTCCATCATTTGATCCTGCAGAGACATCTGAAATTCAGAAAGTCTTAATCCCCCAAAATGATCCGAGGCTATCGCCGCTCGCACACGATCCATCTCTGTTACTGCCCGCCAGCGTTTCACCTCCTGGGCCAGTTCATTTTAGGATCTCTCCCACAACTCCCATCAACTCAGGGGCTCCACCCCACACTCACTCCACATCCTCCATCACTCTCTCCTGGGCTGTGCATGTGTGTGTGTTTGTGTGTGTGTGTGCGTGTGTGTGCGTGTGTGTGTGTGTGTGTGTGTGTGTGTGTGTGTGTGTGTGTGTGTGTGTGTGGTTGTTACTGAAGGAATTTCTTTACTAATAGTCTCTGATTGACAGTCTAAGCTGTCTTTATTCGCTCGGTCATTTCAAGTATGCAGAGCTGTAAAACTAAGCATTGATCCACATCCGCTGATGACTGGGATATGAACTGCACTTAGAGCGGAGGAGTCTGCCCTGCCCTTTGTGGCGCTGCTTGTGTCTACTGGGTCGTTCAGTGATACGCAGGCTCAATAACAATGAAAAACTGTGTGGCCGTCGGCTTCGTTTATGACACTGCAGTTAAGAACAGTAAAGTTGCAGTGAAGTATGTCTGAGCTGTGATGCACACCTCAGAGGTCACTGTCCAGGACCTGCAAAACGCTCCTCATAATGGTTAACGACCTCTGACACCGGAACATGTGGTTGTATGGTTGTGCCTTGCTGGAAGACGATGAGAGTGAAGCAGATTATGAGCATAGTCCGCACAACTGATGACTTTGCACAGCATAATGGACTCAGTTTAAGTAGGAAAGGGGGGTGGGAGGGCAAATCAATTGCTGAGAGATAAAATATTGTTGCTGGAGCAGACAGGGGAAGCAGGCCAGAGAAGCATTTCGACGGCCTGGGAGGGTTTATGTAAGTTGGAGACTCCAAATGGACCTGTCCTTAATGTCTGAGTCAAACAGCTACTGAAATAACTAATGAGCTGAGATGATGTCGCTCCGAAAATACAGAGAATCCACCTCGATACTGTGGCTGCAAAACACGTCAACAACAGCTTCATAGTTGTACACAGACAGACTTTGATTTGTATACTGAAGTAGAATTGCTATGCAACCCTGTTGTTTTAAAGACATTTCCTAAAGGCAGAGAACAGGTATCATGTTCGAGAGGCCAAAAACAGTTTTTGGGAGGCTAACATGACCTTTGACAACCAGAATCAAATCAATTAATCTGTGAAGAGGATTCTAAGGATTCCTTGAGGCATCCCTGAGATAGAATGATAGAATAGAATTATTAAGGTAGAATGACTCGAGCGTTCATGAGGCAAAAAGTGGTTTCTGAGGTCACAGTGACCTTTATCCTTCAACCTTTGACCACCAAATTGTAATCAATTAATTTTCCAAGTTAACATTTTTTATCAAATTTGGAGACATTTCTTCTAGGTGTTGATGAGATGTTGCGTTCACGAGACCAAAAACGTGTTTTGTAAGGTCCCAGTGACCTTGACCATTGAGCCTTGACCACCAAAATCTCTTCAGTAAGTCCTAGTGGATGTTTGTACCAAATCCGAAAGGATTCCCAGTAGATGGGTCTAAGATATTTGTGTTCACAAGGCAGAAGGTTCTTTTTGTAAGGCCATGTGCTATTCACAAGAATGGGAGTGAAGAAGGACTGCCTGTTGAAATTGTGTAGAACACTCAGTCAACTCAAAGGAAGTAGGCTACTGTTTTGCACTGGACTAAATTATCATAAATGTGTTTGAAATAATAATAATATGCTTGATTTGGCTTTTCTGAGTGTAAAGTGTGAGATCATAGGTGACGGATCGTCTAACCTATAAAACGTTTCCTCTTTCATGCAACAGCAAAATTAGCGACACGTGCGTTGCTCATTTCCTCACCAGACAGAAATGCACAAAGCCATTACTCCAACATGCAAGATGTATGAGCTGATGTGGATGTGGGAAGTCACCTGCCATAAAAAATAATGCAACATTATACTGTTTAATGCACCTTAAGTGCTGATCCATCCACGTTCTTCTATTAAATACAGACAAGAGTGAGGTGGCATAAGCATGCGGAGATGCAGGCAGAGCAGCCATCACCATCAGGCTTTAATGACTGCAGAGAGAGCAACATTACAGCTCCCAGCACCAGCTCATCAATCAAAGACTATCCCAAGTTCACTTCACACAACTGAACAACATTAACTTTGTGCTCTAGAGGTAATTTCATGGAACCTTCGGCCCATTTTTTCCAGGTGTTTGAGATTTTATAAGAGATTATCTTAACTTGTTTTATTTTCTCCTGTGACTTGATTTTATCCCCCTGTATTTTTATGATTCAATTTTATAATTTGAATTAAAATTATTTTTATCTGAAGCACTTTCTAACTTTGTTAAGAAAAGGGCTGTACGAATAAAGTCAAATTAGATATTAATATTAGTGGTATTCCTGAAGAGGTCTTATAGATACACCTGGCAGATTGATAGAGAGGATAGGAGGCGTCCTCATCTGCCCTTCATCAACTGTTGTCAGGTTTCATGAAGCTTTGAGTCACATACAGAAGTCAAAGTGAAATACAGATTCTATTGTAAATTATTTACTTCAGGAACTATGAGCTAAATGGCTTTGACAGCAGTTATACAACAGGACTTCCTTCATCTTACAGTATTCAAGACATAAAAAAAAACCTTGGTTTTCAAATCTTAGATAAAGTATAAGTGCAACTTGGAAACAAATATTAGAAGATTGTATTCTCACTTTCTCAACACGTTGTGCATTGTATCATGGAGCCCAACATCGTTTATCTTCCTTTAGTAGCTCTTCTGTTTTATCCAGCATGATTGCCTCAGCAGCAGATATGTAGTACTGTGTTGTTGTTTGAATACCACCAATAATTTTCAGTGTTTTGTTCTGTACATCATGTGCATCTGTACAGATTCACTGCAGAAATAGCTGCTATAATGACTCTTGACCAGCAGATGGCGATAAAGTTTAAAACATATTTAAAGCTCAAAGAATATTTTCATTTCATTAAGTGAATAATAGTCGATATGGATAAAATTGTTGATAGATATTATAATACGTGTTAATAAATAAAGATCAATTTGAGTTCACAAATGCAAATTGGACAAGATTTTAGCATTTCACTACTTTATATCTAATGGAGTCCTAATGTAGATATAACTAAAGAGCTCATAAATAAAAAATCAAGTCCATTTCCTTGCTGATGTCCAAACTAGGAATGAGACACATGGATGTATAGTAATTGTATATTGTGTCTGCATTACAGTTAAAACACAGTAAGGTAATGATGGCTTTTTTAAGCTATTAGAGCATTTGCTGTTACTGTTTTCATCAGTGTCCTGTGGAAAGCACACGACCATCTGTCTGCTGGCAGAGAGCAGAGTCAGCAGTGAGTGAATGAGTCTGGATGACGACAGCAGGTTGTGTCTGGAAACAGGTCACGTTTTCTGCTTATCACCGTGGTTTCCACTGAGGCAGATTTAAGCAGAAAACAAGAAGAAATATTCCATAATGGATGAAACACTGTTTGCAGATTAAAGACAACATGTGATATTGGCAGGGCGGAATGTGAAATGTCTGTCGAGCGTATTCACACAGCGGCCTGTGCGCTCTGTCTGCTCACACAGGAGGGCACTGTCAATAATTCAGATAGAAAATTGGGGTGTGTAAGGGCAGTCAGTGGAAAGGTCTGCACTCCTCATGTAGCAGAAACGTAATGAAGGGGAATCTAGGTTTATGGTTTTTGAAATGTTGACTACAAATCAATATAATTCATTATTTAATACTGAAACTAGTGCATGAAATAATTTCTCAGAGATGAGGTGGTGAGACTTGTGTGCAGAGGAATTATTCGATGGGGAGGGAGGAATGTGGAGTGGATCAAACTTAATCCTGTGGAGTGGAGCTGGAAGTGGCAGCCATCCGATAAATGATTGATTAACTGTTTGGATGAGGTGGCATTGAGGTATGTGCTGTAAACACTGAACAGAACAGAGGGAAGGAAAGGTGAGAACATTGAATTCTAAATGTAGATCTATACTGTAAATGGGGCAGACGCTTTAAAATTCATGTATTCTGTAATGCCGGAGATAGAAAGGCCTTCCTCCCTGCGCTGGATCTCCCACTTCCCCTGCCGTCACACACAATCATGTCGTTACAGATCGTTGTTTGGTCTCTTTATCAGCTTCTACCTGGGCCCTGTTGTGTCGTGCTGGCGATGATCCACTTGACGAGACAACACTTCATCAGAGATTTACGCGTGAGCCGTGGCTTCTGCCACTTGGAGCCCTCTGTCTGTCCGCTCATGTTTGGATCTTTTCCATTGGCGTCGGGCATCAGACCGCCGTCAAACACCTTCTCATCGGTCTGAGGAAAATCATAGAACAGAAACTATAGCTCATTATTCACAGCAGATGGATTTTAAGCTCCACTTTACATAAGAATCACATGAGCACACCTTAGACAGGGAGGAGAAACCAAGCAACTATACCTGGAAAAGGATCCACTTCCAGGCTACAGCTCCATTTTGAGTCCCATCTGTGTTTAATAAGCCAAATTCTTAATTTGGTTTTATGGCCTACAACTGACCTGTTTGGATTCTTTCTCATGGCTTCAATCACAATTTTTTTGTCTTAATCACCCCACTGTACACCTCCATGGTCAGTTATAGAGACGATAGCTGGTGAACATACTGGGTTTTTAGTAACGTTTCCCTTTTATTAAAATGACCTTCAAAAACCATCCACTTAGCTCCCATCAATCTCCAAACTTCCAATTTTATCCAAGATCCTTATAATATAAATGATAATAGTGTTAATAATAATAATATTTATTCAAATTGTTCCAATCTGGCTTTCGATCATTCCAGGGTGCAAAGACAACTCTTCTTAAAGTTTTTAATCGACTTCTATCGGCTGGGTACACGGCTGATTGCTCCATCTTAGTTCTTCTGGACCTCAGCATTTTTCTTTCGAAACCATAGATCATAATATACTTTTTGACAAGTCTGGAGAAGTGGGCAGGAATCACTGATTCATTCAGGTCTACAGAACTGGAGAAACACTGTTTTTGTCGCATCAAATAAAAACTAAACTTAGTAGAACTTAGTAGAAACATGAACACTGTGATGAGAACTACCCAAAATGAGATCCTTGAGAGAAAATTATTTGACAAATATTTAAACTTTTCTCCATGTCCCATCCACTAACATGAAGTAGGCAGGATTTATGATTTATACTGCAGCCAGCCACCAGGGGGCAATCAAGGTGCTATAGCTTCAATTTGGAGAGCTGTCACGTCTTCCATCTTTATACAATCCATGGTCTTTATATGTTTGAAGCTTTTGTAGTTGTATGCATCTAAAAACCATGTATTCGTTTTCCAGCAGGACAGTATCAGTTTATATAGTTCTGTACAAGTTATACAAATGGAAATCTTTTAAAAAGTTTTAAATATGCTCACTGGCCGGAAAGAATTGGAAAGGGTCTAATATTCCAGTAACAGGAGCTCATCTGAGAATGAGGACACGCAAGCTCCTTCATTTCCAGTTATTTTCACCTTCACATCTTCTCATCATCCGACACTGGACGCACAGTCACTGCTTCTGTATGCAGATGAATATTTCAGTGAAAATGAAGCCTCACATTTTCAAACATCAATGATATAATAATTTAATTCCACATGTATCCTGATGATCTTTATGACGATGATCAAGAAGTCATCTAATTAACTGTGATTACCTGAATAAGATCATACTTATAAGGTCACTATGGAGTTTTTACAGGATTTTGTTACATGGACATTCATTTGCTACTGCTCGATGATGTGTGCAATGGGTTTGAGTTTAACGTCAGATTTACGATGTATGGACATAATTAGAGTTCTCTGTAACATGTAAACAAGTATATGAATATTCTATTAGCAACTCATGTAAACATCACCATTGGAGTAATGTCTTATTCAGAATAAGGTCAATAGTCTATTTATTATCTCTGCCATGGAGGTTAATGTTATATCTACGTTTGTTATTTAGCAGGATTACTCAAAAACTACTGGATGGATCCAGCAGTTCTTTGGCTGTTGTCTTCCGTCTTACTCTGTCTTTGCGGTCTTTTCCTTGGTGGAGGTAAAGCAGCGTATGAATAAAACAGCTTTCTTTAAGAGGCTGCCGAGGATGCAATGTAAAGAGTTTATCGAAAATAGACTGAAGCACTGTCGGGGGAGCTCCCCTCGCACCCCACCCCCACCTCCTCTTTGAATATGAAAGGATGCCAAAGCATACAGAGCATCGAGAATGTCGCTCAATAATTCACACTGCTTAAAACGGCATCAATAAAAGATCAGAGTTGGCCGCCATGGTGAGGTGAATGATGACTGCGAGTAAAACGGACTGACACTTGATAGACCATCCAAAAACCACATAAACAACCAAACACACACACACACACACACACACACACACACACAGATATGCATCCATACTTTTAGAGCATCTGAAGTTTCCTCAGACTTTGGTGATGTTATGAGAATGTATGTTTTGATAATATAATAAAACTATATATTCATCAAATTATAAAATATCAGTCCCACTCAGTTATCTGTGATTCTGTGAGAATTTCTGAAAAGATTGAAAACTGGTATAAAAAAAATGAAGAGAGGGTGCATCCACAGCGCTGCATTATTCAAATGAAATAAACCATGTGAGCCAGTGATCATGAGCTTCATAACTGAGACCATCCTCAGTGCACTCATCATCATCATCAACCAAACACACACACACACACACATACACACACACACTTAGATCTTATCAAATCTGCATTAGTCTGTTTTTTTTAACCACCTGTGATTCTCCTGTAATAACCTGCTTCATAATCAGCTTTTATTTCTGTTGTGCAATTGAAATATTCAACTTTTTACCCAACAGCTTTTATTCTGCAGCTTCAATCACTGTGCATATCTTTGTTTTGGGTAAAAAACACATGATCAACAAATGAAACAACACTTTTTTATACATGAAACTATGAAGTAAGTAGAGACGAAGTATTTGAAGTTAGACCTGCAAATCACATACTGCTTATATTATAATGGATTAATTATAACAATGTCTCATTTGTGTAATATACTTCTGAAGGGATACAAGTATATAGTTCTCATCCACACGTGTAAATTTGAATGCAGCACTTCTACTGTACTGTAAAGCACAGAAATATTCCCAGTGTTAATCTTCCTTCATGTTATTAGCAGCTCCTCTAGCAATAAGTAAATGAAAGCATACAACAATAAATGTTTACTGCACCTGCATTGCGTCCGGGCTTGTGTTGCTGTTTTGGAGACAAACTGCTGCAATCCTCCTCTGCTCGCGCTCCTCTGACAAGCCTCAGTGAGCTGCAGCTGTCTGCAGAGAGGCACAGAGAGAAAGCAGCTGTGTGAAGGAGGAGCAGAGCTGCTCCGGTCCCCAAGCTCACACACACACACACACACACACACACACACACACACACACACACACACACACACACACAGAGCTGCGGATAAACACTGTTAACTCACTATCATCATCATCATCATCATCCTCTATGTGTTGCATGAGAGCAAGCGTTCCCACCTGATGAGTCAGGAAGAAGTGATGGTGTTGGTGATGAGCAGGGGAGTCGTGATCCTCAGCTGCTGATGAGAGCAGAGAGCAGCTGGTCCATCAGTTGGTGATGAGGAGGCAAACGCTTTATAGAGCGACGGAGGGAGCGAGGCGTGGACGAGGTGTCTGCATCGTGACAAATGTTATTAGAAGTGCCAGACATATTGTAAAGTGCAGCGATGATGTGCAGCTCCAAACTCATACGAGACTCTCTGAGGAAATTAAACAGGATGACAGTGTCTCACACACACACACACACACACACACACACACACACACACACACACACACACACACACACACTAATAATAATAATAATAACAATAAGTGGATTTTATGAACAGTTCCCCACTGATGTGTTATTTTCTTGTCAGTGAACATGTTATAATGATGTCACAGGATAAAAATGCCCAAATTATGTTTTAGAGGAAGAACATTGGTTGTTTGAGAGGTCATTTATTTTAAGTGTGTTCAGATGTTAAATTTATTGTGTAGAGCTTGTGATAAATATTATCATCATCCTCAGTCTCTTCTTCATCTTCTTTGTCTTTGCTTTCATCTTCATCTTCTTCACCGACTTCTTTGCCTTTATCATCTTTGACTTCTTCTTTGCCTTCTTGTTCACAAATCTCCTTATCTTCTTCTACTTCTTCTTCTGCGGCTTCTTCTTCATCTTATTCTTCCTCTTCTTTGCCACCTTCTTTGCCATCTTTTTCTTCTGCTTCTTCTTTGCCTGAACCAGGGGTATTCACTTTATTCTATAAAGATACAGAGAAGCAAGGCGGTGGGAAAAAGTAGGCAGCTTTGGGAGGGAGGTCTAGGGGGGTGCAGCCCACATTGGTGCCTCTGGTACATTAACATGAGGTACTTGAAATGAAGATGAGGAATTGGAAAATGAAGCATGATCCTTCACTTTTTTCTACACAAAGCAGGACAAAATGAATGAAAATGCCTGGGGGTGAAATAACTCGCACACACTCAACGTTTATGAAATGCCTTATGAGGTTTAAGGTGCTTACTCAACACCTGGTGGAGGATTATTCTCACACAGCTTCCTCAGTAAAATATGGGGGATTATAGAAATCAAACAGAGAATTGATATCTGGCTGGACTTCAGTGAGTCGTCCTCTATTTGTCAAACAGCCAGTGCTTGTGGAAAGCTCTGGATAATCAAGCACTGCAGAGTTAAAATGCCATCGTGCCGCTAAAATTCCTTAAATTTTTGAAACTACACAAAGGACTCACTTAGTACCGTGCATCTGTCTCTATCCATGGTTTCACATTGACTTGAAATATGCTCCCACACTGCCTCTGCTTCTGTTAAACTGCCTCCTCTCAAATTCTATGAAAGTCTTGAGGTAGAGGAAGAGGTGGGGGCTTTTTATTGTGGAAAGGAAATAAAGTCCAAAAAGAAATGATGAGGATCTCGAACAGTGACTGAAATTATAATAGTCTAGATCAAAGTTACACAGCTATAGAAACTCAATATCATTTGCTGGTCTCATTTAAACAGTGAATCTCCCAACGGAGTCTCATGATAATTCATCCCAGAGTTTCTGAGATATTTCAAACTGGACCAAAGTGCTGGACTGACCAATTCTGTCCTCACACAGCAGGACTATCAAAAATGTACTTGTCAGATAGTCCATTATAGATGATATAAAAATGTTTAATATCTTTCCCTCTGTTGCAGCCCTCATAACAAAACTGGAGAAATTCAATATTTCTGTACAGTCTGCCCTTGTGCTTCTTATCTTTCTACAGGTCTGTCTAGCTCCTGCAGACGCTGCAGTTATTTTTAGCCTCACAAGTTCCAGAGAGCCTCCAGTTTCCCTGGTGCCTCACACATCAGCTCAGGGTTTAATTGAGGGTGTGTGTTTGGTGCAGATGTGCAGAGTGGGTGCATCTGTGAAAGGTGGTTTCTTTTATTTTCTCTCTCTCCTCATAAATGTTGAATTTTCCTTTTTATTTTTGAGAATTTGCCACAAATGCTCACATGCATGGCTGCACATGTTTGTGCACGTATTCACACTTAGTCTCTAGCTACGGCACAAAAACATCCACTGCTGCTCATCTCTTTGTATGAAGAGAGACTGGAGCATGACCTTGAAAGAAAACGTGTTAAAACCCAGATTTAAACATACATTTAAACTCTATATATCAGGATTTACAGATATATTAGCCCTCCTAATATATACAACTATACAATAAAGTAGTGTATGTCTGTGTCTCTGTTTGACAAGAAACTGCAGGATTTCATGTGCAAAAACCTGGAAAAAAACTGCTTAGAATAGAAAAGTATTCAGTTTTACAACATTATTCTTAAACGTTCTTCTTCTACCTCCACCTCCTCTCTCTCCTTTCACCCCTCTCACTCTGCACTGCTGCTCTCAATTCATCTCCAGCAAAACAAACATAAAAGATCAGTTTATTTAATGGCACCCAGTAGAGCACATACCTCCGCCAAGGCCCTTAACTCCAGTCGAGCTGCACCAGATTGCTCAGATATCAGTCCTCTAAATATGCCAGATATTATTTTTCATGAAGATCCATGAGTATTTCCTGGGATAATGTAACACATGTATAAACCTGCCCTTTTGTCAGGATCCATGCCAAAATGCAAACAAGCAAACAAACTAACTAACTAACTGACCTGAAAACGTTTTAACTTTCTTTTTCAAACTGTATGTTACTGAAGATAGTATAACCATTTACCCTCTGCTGCACCCCACTCAAACCCACGAGGCTCACGATTATTCTAATGCCACATTGTAATTAACTCAACACTCCTAATCCATCTCTAGTGTTAATTATGTGCGAGCAGAAGTGAGCAGCTCTGAAGATTCTGTTATGGTCATTTTATTATGGAACACTAAAGGTTAGCCTACAGGTTAATTAAATTGTGTCCCTTACCTTTTTTTCCCCAGAATTAATTCTCACTAAATGTTAAATACAGCAGATAAAAGACATCCTAACTAACCTACGTCATAAAATACATATCTATTATTGTAGGTATATTGAAATGAATAGTTTTGAAGTGTCCAACTTCTTAGTTGTTTGTACATGTTTGTCTTCATGTGATACAACAAACACAATTTATAGTGTCACTGCCCAATTTGGTGACATTGAGTTTATTGTCAGTAGTCATTAAGGGTTCTTCTATTTGTCAATATTCTGCGACTTCTTAACCAAAGACAACCTTTTAAACCTCATTTGTGATTTGTGATGTTTTTCTACCTGAAACTGTTCTGTGGTTGTGGAGTGAACACAGAGCTTCATGTCTGTAACTGTTCATCACCACATGAAGTGAGGTCAGAGTTCACCTGTTTCATTCATGGGCCTGCTGAGACTCAGGTGCAGCTACAGATCCAGAGTTTTCTTTAAAAAAGTTTTCCCTTTAGACACCAGATGTCACTACTGTCTATACATAATATAGAGTCAGCTCATAGAGTCTGAAGTAAATAAAGTTTCTTCCTACAAAACCAAATTACTACACAAACACAAACTAGATGTTACTGCTCTCTCTCTCTCTCTCTGTCTCGTTCTCACACACACAATCTCACATCCATTTTTAACTTTAGTTTCTAACCTGTGATTATGTTGCAGTCCATAATCACTGGTTGTCTGTGTTTAACTTGTGTGTGTGTTTGTGTGTAATGAGGTGTGATTAGCTCGATGTAACAGTGATGTGATATTCAAACATATGCTCATATGTTTCGGAACTATTCATCTTTGAATAAAGTCAAAACAATAAAAACAGGACTTGCATGTTGAACAAAAGCTTGGTTTTCCTGGACAGTTGTTCCAGCCCTTGGGGAACAAGCTGTAAATATCTGTTGTAATAAGTCCATGGGGGCAAAGGGAAGTAACAGGATGTCTGCAGGGTTGGTGATTTTCTATGACGGAGATTTCTTCCTGCTGGACATTTTCTTTCTTTGTGTAAATCTCTTAATGGCCTTGTTTACTTTCATGGACAATGATTATTTAAAGGGAGGAGGGCATTGCCATAAAAAGAATCAGGAAATGTGTTACTGCTTACATGGATTCAAGCACTTGTGCATTTAGAGACACACACACACACACACACACACACACACACACACACACACACACACACACACTCTAAGTCACATAAAATGGATTTACATTTTTCTGTCGTGACTCTGCAGCAGATTAAGAGCTCAGCGAAGCACGACTTTCACAGAGTTACAGCCCAGAATCTAAACTAACACACCAGGGATAGAATATCCACGATCCGCCTCGGCTTCCTGGCTAAGATGTGATGTCACTCTGGAAGGAAAAGGGGGGGTCCCATTGAGATCCCCTCACTATCTGCGGAGGATGTGAGAGGCTCAGGCTGCTTTTGCACCACCCCCTCTATTTCCCCACAGTCAACAGGAAGACTGGAGGCCAAAGAAAGCGGTCACACTCTGCAGGAGGGGAAGGACGAAGAAGGTCCAGCTGTACATTCAGGACAAAGGAGAACAATCAAGGCAAAGGAATGAGCAAGAATCAGAAAGAAGTGAAGAAAATCCAGACAGTGTATCTGCAGAACCTGGAAAAACTCAACCAGGGGATAAAGTCAGACAAGAAGAGTTGGAAGACAAAGGAAGGAGACTTTTCTCTACAGACAGCGATGGAAAAGCTGCGTCAGCCTCCCATCTCCGGACAAGTCACCAAAAGCTCAGCACACAGAATCAGCCGAGACCTGACCTGCTCCATCTGCTTGGATCTTTTCAAGCAGCCGGTGTCCTTACCCTGCGATCACACCTTCTGCCAGGGGTGCATTGAGGGCTACTGGACAGGTCCCCGGGGCCCTGGGCAGGGGGGCACAGGCTCCTGCCCTCAGTGCAGGAAGGTGTACCCCGGACAGTGCTACAGGCCCAACCGCATCGTTGCCAACATAGTGGAGAGCTACTGTCACGGTCTGGATGAGTGTGGGAGTGGAGCCCGTCTGGCAGATGTTGGGGTGGCAGAGAGGGCCCCTGCTCCGGTCCCCCGCTGCAGCAGACACAGAGAGGAGCTGAAGCTGTACTGTGAGGAGGACCAGGAGCTGGTGTGTCTGGTGTGTGGAGTCTCCCAGGAGCACAGGAGCCACACCATGGTGTGTGTGCAGGAGGCAGAGCTGAAGTACAGGGTGAGTGGATTTCTGTTGAAGGTTCAGCATAAGATAACGATATTACGGAAATGTTTCTACAACACTTAGTGAAGTAATGATTCAATGACAATCAGGCCTCAGGAAGTATTTATTTTGTACTTGTGCATCATATTAATTATGGTCTTTGTCCTTCCTCTCTCTCCAGTGATTTAATAATGACTTTTATTCATAATTAACTCAATGTACCTACATTTTATACAATGACAATAGCGATAATTCATTTAAAACTTGATTTTCCTCCTTTGATTTGTTTTTGTAGCTTTGTAACTTTTGAAGTAGTGACTCAAGTCTCGAGTGCACGAGTTCACCACAAACCAATCACTCTAATCTGAAGGGAACACTGGTGCTATGACTGTTTCTTGTATGCATGAGCAGCAAAACAGCAAAACAACAGGGCAGTAAAGACACAACAATAAATCGAGCAAAGTGAGAAACAGCTCAGCAATGCGTGATGTTGACGATGTCTCTTTCCCGTCAGGCGTCTCTGAACAGCTCCATGGATTCCCTGAAAGCTGAGCTCAACACAGCGCTGCAGTGTGACAGAGAAGCTGAGGATGAGGTGAAAAAGCTCAAGGTGAGAAAAGACGTAAAAAAGAATTAAAATCGAAGAAAAACATCAAGTTTTCACTCCCACTGACAACGTGCGTCATCTCATCCTCTGCTCAGGATCACACCGCCGACCTCAAGCAGCGCATCGAGGCCCAGTTCAGCGACCTGCACCAGTTCCTGTACCAGGAGGAGAAGCTGCTGCAGGTGAAGCTGAAGACGGAGGAGCGGCGGGAGCTGATCCGCCTGGACGAGCACAAGGCCCTGCTGTGCGTGGAGATCTCCCGTCTGCAGAGGGCCGTGCACGAGATAGAGGACAAGCTGAAGGAGCAGGACCCCTTCACCCTGCTGCGAGTAAGTTCTTCCAATACGAGGAATATGCAGTCCATCTGGAAGATATTAACATCATGATGAGTCAGCTTTGGGGATGATTAAGGCGAGAAATGCTGAGCTTTAGATCTCAAACTCTTTTTTGTTTGTTTCCAAAAGAAGACAAGAGGTGAATTATGGGGTTTGTTAGCTTTATATTTAGTTCATGGATCTTTCTTTCGAGCCAAAACGTTAAAAAGGCTCCGACATAAACATTCAAGATTTAAGTGAGCAGGGTGTGACCAGTTTGGCTTTCCTGTTTAGGTCTGAACACCACTCTTAAGGCCATAAACGTGTCGATCATGTCCATTTGCTTGTATTCCAAGAGTCTTGTTTGAAGAGCTGCAACATTTCTAATAACAAAGGAGGTAGAAAAAAAAGCAGTGAGCACAGACAGGAAGTAGACCAGTGAGCTCACTCATTGATCTGGAGGATAAGGAGTTGAACTCAGGCTCGGGGGCCACACGCTGGCGAATGCTCTGGGACTTTCCCCAAGCCACAGGGAGATCCCACAGGGCGGGACAGCGTGAGCTCAGACGTTGATGTAATGTGGAAAAAGCTTTCTCTTCTTTCAGAGACAACACAACTAATCACTCGTCTGTGTTTCTTTTCCTGTGTTTTCCCTGTGTCTCATTTCAGAGCATCAAAGTCTTGCTTCAGAGGTGAGTGTGGGTCTGGGCCAACGTCAATTTCATCTTGGATGAGATTCTGTTTTTAATTCTCTGTTGTTCATTGTTCTTCGGAAATGCTTCTTCTTAGCAGGCCGTCGCTGAAGTTTGAGAAACCAGCGTTTACGCCACCCAGTCTGTGCGAGGGCCGGTTTGCGGGGCCCCTGCAGTACAGAGTGTGGAAATCCATGAAAGGAAGCATCTACCCAGGTACTGGAAGTGGCCACATCTCACTTTTAAAATGGAAAGTAAAGACACTGAACTATGCAGAAACCAACTCTGATCATCTCAGCGTAAAGACGTTATAAAAGGTCAAGTAGGATTTAGGAAGAAAGGGAATAGAACATCCATAACTATGAATTAATAATAGCGTGAATGACACTACCTCCAACAATCCCCTTATGAAACCACATTTAAATTCCCCAGATCCAGTTTTTTATTTGGATCTGCACCAAGTTGCAAATATAACTCCTCTAAACATGCCAGATTTTTTTTCATCAAGATCCATGAACTATTCTCTGAGGAATCAAAGAAAATGCTGCAATGTTAAAAAAAAACCCTGGATCTGTCCCCTGATCCCGATCAGAACCAAGACTTTATGAATTCTTCCTTAGCTCATGCTTCACCCCTCCACAAAATGTCATTAAGTATTTTTTGCATAATCCTGCTAACTAACAAAGAAATGCAGAATGTTTCTACAGCAGCCCAGAATGGACAAACAAGTCAGTGACTCTACAGAGGGCCTTTTTTATTCTGTATGTTTACTGAAACTGAAGCGTTACGGTATTAGATCTCACTAAATCCTTCACATGCGTCCTTAACAGAATATTTAAAATCTTTTGTTTTCTTCCAACCTTCCTGTCTTTAGTTCCAGCAGCCATCACATTTAACTCCAGCACGGCCAACCCTTGGCTCAGCCTGACCTCCTCCCTCACCTGCGTACGCTACCAGACCTTCAACCACACGGTGCAGGACAACCCCTACAGGTTCAACGCTGCCCTGTCGCTGCTCGGCAGCCAGGGCTTCACCCACGGACGCCACTACTGGGAGATCGAAGTCTACAGCAGCACGGTGTGGACGGTGGGGGTGGCTCGAGAGTCAGTGCCCAGGAAGGGAGTCATCAAAGCTCTACCAGCCAACGGATTCTGGACTCTCTCCCTTTCTTATGGGATTCAGTACATGGCTGGCACCTCCCCGCCAACTGTGCTGTCCCTGGAGGAGCAGCTGGCCAGGATCGGAGTGTACCTGGACTACAAGAGGGGCCTGGTGTCCTTCTACAACGCAGAGAGCATGACACACCTCTACACCTTCAGGGAGAACTTCACTGAGACGCTCTACCCGTACTTCAACTTAGGCTTCCTGGATAAAGTGCATGAAAACGAGCCTCTCAAAGTTTTCTTACCAAAGATTTAACAAACTGGAAAATTGACAAAACAAAAGAGTCAAATTACAAACCAAACAAGAATGATTCAAACTGCAGAAAACAGGAGAAATCATACTTCATCATATACAGCATTAGATACATACTTGATATTAGACCTGT